CAAAAATAAACATAAAAAATTTTTTTTGTAATCTAAAATCTTAGTTTAAAACAAGTTTTATGTGGTGCCTGAGTAGCTTAGTCTGTTAAGCATCTGACTCTTCATTTCGGCTCAGGTCATGATCTCACAGTTCATGGGATTGAGCCCCTAGTCTGGCTCTGTGCTACATCAGGGAGGCTATTTGGGATTCTCTCTCTCTCTCTCCTCTCTAAATAAATAAACATATTAATTAATTTTATAAAATATTTTCAGTGGTGAAGACATTAAGCATAAAAAGATCATATCCCTTTATACGTAAAGTCTTAATTATCTGGAAAATATCAAACAAATGAAATATGTTGAAATTTTTAACCGGAAGTTTATAATGTTATGGTTATGGATGATTTTTATCTTTTTTTAAATGTAGATGAAATACAATTTTATCCAATCATTTAAAATTAACCTGGCCTCTTACAGGTCATCTCAGTCTCTCGTTTTTGGTTTTTCCATATTTTCCAAATTTTTTGGAGTAAATATTGCCTTTATAAAGAGAGAAGAGCAGCATTTTGTTTTTTTTTATCTCAATCATATTAGATGTGAATAAGAGAAAAGGAAATGGTTCTGAGATTAGTAATGTGACTAACATACATTAGAAATAACATGTAAAGAGAATATGGTTTGGGATGGAAGATCCTATTTTAGAAAGTTAATTTATTTTTCTTTAGGTGCCATTTATATATCCAAGTGAGGATGCCTAGTAGGTAGATGGAATAGTGGGATGAAGATCTATGATGGATTGGAAGTCGTAAACCTTAGGTGACAGTTGAAACTATGAGTTTGCCTTGGAAAGAAAGTTAGTAGTAACAGCCGTAGATAACAAGTAAGCACTTGCGCTGTTCCATGTCCTTTTCTTAGCATTCACATGTATTAGTTCATTTAATTCTCAACAACTTGAGGAGGGTACTATTATATATTATTATTCTTGGTTTTACAGATACAGAAACCAAGGAAGTGAGCAGTAAGCAACTTTCCCAAGCACACTTACCCAAGCACACTTAATTTTACTATATTACCACCATTAATCTGTTTTAGTCAAAAATTCTGAAAAGGAATGGGCCAAAAAGAGAATCTTCTTGAGGAACTTGGATGACTTTTCTTAAGTACAATTTAGTAAGCTTTAAAAACCTCAATTTTCACCAAATGAGAGGATGAGTCCGACCTTCTGGTCTTTAAAAATAGACATTCTTCTCCATGATGATGTATATTCTAGCCCACATCTTTTCCCAGCATAAACCAGTTACACCCAAATTTATTCTCAAGTAATTACCCCTCCCCCAAATCACACATCTAACTATAATGTTCTCTACAAGGAACTCCTTAGCACGGGGATGAATTGCACTCTAACAGCTCCATCAGTCATGTCGATGCATTGCAAATTCAATTTGAATAAGAGTTGAATTCATAGAAATATTTGGCTTATGACATTTTTCATTAGCAATGGTTTTACCTGATTAATCTGAGTCCTCAACTTCTGAATTAGTTGAGCTAACAGGCATTTAACATTGATGCTGATAAAACAAGTTTCTTTCATCTCCTCAAACACCTCTAGTATCTGTTGCTAATTAGCATCAATTGCAGACACATCTTTCATATATCACATGATTCCTTTTTACTTCAGAACCATTCATACTGTCAGTTTATCCCATCATTTTCTCAGTGCTACCAATTTGAATGATTCTACAGTAATGCCAAACTACTACTTTGTAGACAGCATTTTGAATATTCTCATGGCTTTTGAACTTAATAGACATGATGATATTTAAAATGTTCATAAAGAACCTTAGGAACAAGAGAAACCAACATGATTGCACATTGCCATTTTTTTATTCATGGACATAAGTTATTTTCATTTTAAAACTTTTGCTTTGGTTGCATCTCTGAAAATAAAGGTTTTTGCATGTGCTGCCCTTGACATCCATATAACCTAAACTGTCATGTGCAGAAATTGATCCTTCACCCATCAACTGAGAAAGGATTTGCAACTATCACATGACAGCACAACCCTGCCTGTAATCATGTGAGGCAGAGCTTGTATAAATAATAAATTGAGAAATACATATATGTATGTATATTCTTTGCATGTATATATATGTGTATATATGCACATACATATGTGTGTATGTATGGCTTTGGGAACTGAAACTCCCAAATCAGTGCTATCTAATATAATGTGACCCAACAAGTAACCTAAAATTTTCTAGAAACCACACGTTATTTTTTTTATTAATTTTTGTAATGTTTATTTATTTTTGAGAGAGAGAGAGAGAGAGAGAGAGAGAGAGAGAGTGTGAACAGGTGAGAGGCAGACACAGAATCAAAGCAGGCTCCAAGCTGTCAGCACAGAGCCCGACGCAGGGCTCAAACCCACAAACTGTGAGATCATGACCTGAGCCGAAGCTGGACGCTTAACCGACTGAGCCACCCAGGCACCCCTAGAAGCCACACTTTAAAAAGTAAAAACAAACAGGAGAAATCAGCTTTAATAATCTTTCATTCAACCCAATATATTTAAAATAGTGTAATTTCAACATGCATTTAATATAAACATTGTAAATAAGCTACCTTACATTATTTTTTTGTACTAAGCATTTAAAATTTGGTGTATATTTCACATTTACATCTTAATTCAGATGCCAGGTTTTCATCAGTAATACTTGGTCTGTATTTAGATTTCATAAAATTTAGGTTTGAAAAAATAGATTAATATACTCAAGTTGTTCCAAATATACTTAGAAGTTTTCAGTAATTGTATATCAAGTTTCTTTGCTTACTTATTTACGTATCTGTCTAGTTATTTATTGTTAAATATGGAACACTTCATGAATTTGCGTGTCATCCAAGCGCAGGGGCCATGCTAATCTTCTATCATTCCAATTTTAGTCTATGTGCTGCTAGCAGATATCAAGCTTTTAAATTAAATTAAATCAGAGGCA